CTACTTAAAAGGGAGGAAAGGAAGGAGGAGGGAGAAATAGCATTTTTACTTTGTCACACCTCTGTCAATTCAGAGAAAAGGAAAACAAGGCAGGCATTGATAAACATGGTAAATGAGCTGGCTTTCTCTCTGCTCTCCTAAATGAACACATCTTATTCTAACTCACTTGAGGAAACCAACACACATTACCTTCAGATTGGACATATTAAAGGGTCTCTAACCAAGGAACAGGGTAAACAGCGATTTACCTTTTCCTTACTAGCTCTAATTGAGATATAATCCACATACCATACACTTCACCCATTTAGAGTGTGCAATTCAACAGAATTTAGTATGTTTACATACTATTAATAGCATCACCCCAATCTAATTTTAAAACATTTTCATCATCCCAAGCCATTTACATTTTAAAGGATAGTTAAATTTTTTTAAGGGAGGTGCACTCATAATCTAAAATAAAAACAAATATATTTTAATGAGATATGATTGTTCATGGGGTGAACTAACCTGTTTGAAGATATGCATTTTAATGACATAAGAAAGATAGGTTTTCCATTCCTAAATTCATTTTGAAAGATCTCACTAATTTCCGCCAAATGCAAAAGGAAGCCTTTGCCCTACCCTTCAACCCCATCATTTTTTTTCTTCCTTTAAAAAAAAAAAAAAAGTGCTTTGTTTCTTGCAAAATAATTCCTAGCCATATCAATGGCCACTCACTCTCTTTTTCACCATGCTCAACTCTGTCTTCAGCTTTCTGGACCAATGGCTGTGTGCTACCAATGGCTTCTGGACCAATGGCTGTGTATTTGCTTACAAGAAAATCTATAGCTCCTTCCTCTGAGCAGCTCAAGAAAATGCATCACAAGAAGCATCAGAACAGACAGATGAAACACCTTCCATTATCCATCCTCATGAAGCCAAATTAATTTTAAATAGGTAATTTTAAGAGAGAAGCTCTTTTTTTTCTTTTAAGCTTGACTAAAGCAGATATGCTTCATATATCCCCTCTTGATTTTCAGTTTAATTCCTAGGGACAAGGGTTAATAAGAATGTCCCATGTGTAGGACTTCACAGAGAAGCAAGCTTATGTTATCCATTGATCTATGTGTTTTAACTCATTTAATCCTCACAAAACCTAAGAGTAGGAATCATACTATACCATCATCATCATCATAATCACCATCATCCACATTTAAAGATAGGGAAAGGGAGGCAAAAAAGCATGATTTGTAAAAATGACAAAGATATGAGAAACTGAGGAAGCAAGCAAGAATCACCAAATGACAGCAAGAATTCAAAACTAGACTTTGGTTTCAGAGCTCACATTTTTAGCCATTATCCTATGTTGCCTACCGGGAAATACTTAAGGTAAAAGTGATTATCTTACAGGATGGATGCCAGACTGTTCTCTAACATCAAAGAAAGAAAGAAGTTCCATGGGATATAGTGCTATAACACCAAAGGGAGGAAAAATCTGCTTTCATACAGGACAGAAATAGTGTGACCAGACAAGGACTACAGGAAGGTTCTTCAACAATAAGAAAGGAAAGTGAGGAAGTAGTCACCCCCTGAGATGGAAAAATGACAAAAAGCAATGAAAAAAAAAGAATAAACTAAACCTTATGAGGGATTAAACTATCAAGAGTTGTATCCAAAAAATAAAAAAGTGTCTCTAACAGAGATACAGTAAACACTCAGGAACAATGATAGCAGCCCAAGTGTTAACTCAGGTCTAGAATGTAACAGAAAGTTGTAAGTTATTTCATTAGAGTGAAACTGGTCTGACAACGGTGATGCTAATGGCAGGTTCTTGGCCATTTTTTTTTTTTTTTAATGACTGGTAAATAGCAAACTAAAGCTATGTATGAAATGAAACTGCCAGAAGCTGTTATGAAACTCAGCCAAAAAGAAGATTTGCCTCAGGACTACACTAATAAAATCTAAATTCATGTTTAATTTGCTTGCATGTTACTGCTGAATTGACCTCAGTCAGACCACTACCTAAATCAGAGCACTGGTTGGCCCAGCATGAGGAAAGTCATGGTGCTCAGACAGAAGTCCCACTTGACCTGTTCCCTGAGACCACAGCTCTACCATCAATACGTGCATTCGAGAAACAAGAAGCAAAATCAACTGGAGCATTCAAGACATAGATATGAAATAAGATCCACACACATATCAGCCTTCTAAAATAATAATGGGGATCTACAGGGCATTTTGAATTGGCAATGGCAAAGACTATGATTTCCTGCTACAGGGATATTATCACAATATTTCAACCTAGGTTTGAATCAAGGCTCATAAGAGCTCCCCTACTTAATGCGACATCACACCTAACACTTTGCTGTGGCATTCTACACAGCAGATTATAATCCTGACACCGAGGCTCTTTGAAATTAATCATTTCAACACGGAGTGAGTTGGACACATTAGATTAACATGGTAAACTAGAGTGGCTTCTTTCCTTTTCCTTTTTTCAAAGGAAAAAAAACTTTAAAAATTATTTCATAGTTCTCAAATGGCTCTGACAAGCTACTACTAAGTTTTGAAATATAAGTCTGGATCCCTTAGATCAGTAAGGTAAAAGGGGAAAACAAATATGGATAGATATCCTAAAGAAGGCATAAGAAAATAAACCAGTGACCTGAAAAATATTATCAGGAATATTTTCAGGCTAATGGAAGCCTAAAAAATATTATCTTTATATGATGATGAAGAAATCAAATTTTTCTGTAGTCTACATATATCTTTGGTTTTTTTCAGTGTTTCAAGAAAAGGTAATGACACAATTTAATGGGTTATAATCTAAATCCTACTTTACCAATTGTTCTTTAAACATTTTTCGTGACTAAAATTATATCTCTGACTCTACCACGTACTTTCATGTGTGCCACAAATACCCTCCAGTAGACTACTAATGGATTTTTCTTCTTCTTTCAAAATGTACCTAAACAGATATGGCTAAATTTTCCTCTTTGGTCAGGAACTTTCAGGATACAGGTGCCAAATGAATCTGTTAAAGGGAAAATATACTAAATCAAGGCTGAGTAGACAAGGGCAAAACTAATCAAAATTGATTTCGCAAAGTAGAAGCCTGTTCCCTCTTTTTAGCTGCAGTGGGAAGAGTGAGAAGGAATGGAGTCCTTTTCAAGTGACATCTTGAGGTTGAAAGCTGATATCACATAAATATATAGCATGGTAAATATCTTAACTGAAATTTCTCCCAAGGGCCTTTGTGATCTCTTTTGGAGGACTATACTGTATAAGAAGTATGATAAAGTAGGAGAGGGAGAAGGGAACGCCCAGGAAGAGTAGGTGCCAGCCATCTGTAGTACACATTTAAAAAAAAACAATTTAAAAAGTACTTGTTCCTAAACTCTTGACATCGTCGGCCCGTTTCGACAAGAGAATTAAGCAAAAGCACAGCTACTCAACAGCAGAACAATCTTACTTATCTTATTTTACTTAACTTCATAGATATCCAATAATTATATCTAGTAACTTGAAGAAAATCTCTCATTGTGATCTGACATTAAAGTGGGTTCTCAGGGTCTTAATATGCGTTTGCCAAAATTTAACAATGGTGAAACAACTTACTTTTGCACTCCAGCCAAAAAAAAGAAGCCATGTGCCCAATTTCTCTTTAATAAACTAAATTTAGATTTTAACTTTAAAACAAGTTTTGACATAAATGGCTTTAAAATAACAAGAGCATCTTACATTTGGGTCTTTTCCCAGTTAATTATTTGCTGGCATTGGACTAGAAATTCCTTGGCTTCACCTTAAACCGACACTCCCAAATGCTAATTAGGAGACTATATACATTATTAACCAGGGAATGTTGTGCTTAAAACACGCACGTTCCATATGTATCCTATTATTAACATTATTCCTTTCACTCCTCCAAAGACCTCTTTAGAAAATAGAGCCCCTATTTAAACTAAGCACTTGGCTGCTATTGAGGGAATTCTTGTCAAAATGCAATTAACAGAAAGGGGCCAAGATGACACAGGATGTTTGTCTTCAAAACATCCTTAACATGAGGAATCAAATGCAATCTCACTGACATAGTGACACAGTCCACTGACACAGTGGAGGGAAAAGTTAATGACGGCACATGTTAAACATTTTAATCTTACCAGGGGATGCCCAAAGAGAATGGCCAACTCACATATGAACTAAGCCACTGCCAAGGAACCAGACATGTCAGTGAAGACAAGCCAGAGACATGTCTTTTTTCAGTGCTACCTCTTCCAAAAAGCCACAGGACAGATGGGAAAAGAAACACATGTAATCAAGGTAGACTAATGATTTCCTAATTACAAAGGAAATATGATCTTCTCATTAACTGGCAAGCTAACTGACAACAATTGCAGTTTCATAAATTGAGTCCAGAAATCCAAACTTTGGTGTCTGTATTCACAGAATTCTCCTCGTGCTTCCAGACCCTTCACTCAGCCACAAAGTTGTCAGTTCTGCTTGATTTGTTTGAATACTGTACTCAACGACAGCTGTCGGAAACAGTACATTAGAACAGCTGCTATGACAGCTACAAGGGGCTTGGAAGTTTAATTGGACTCAATGTGACATTGTGCATTTTTCTAAACATAGAAATATCCACAAAAACTAAAGGAATTTCTGATGGATCTGAACCATGTTTATTTACTGGCACCAACAGGTTAACCTCAGTCTGAGTTATATCGTTGGTCTCACAATATCTTTGCCACCAGGCTGGTAAGAGGTATAAAAAAGTAAAAATAAAAATAAACAGTAGGAGCACTTCAATGCACAATAAAAGGGCACTAAGAGGGAGAGGAAATGGTAAGGAAGTCACGTCAATAATCGCTTTCAAAGGCTGGCTGGTAGCCAAGGAGGATCCCACAGTGTCTCAGGATTTACTTCCAAAGGAAATGTATTCAGCGGCCCTGAGCCCGGTGCCAACTGCAAACAAAACCACTCATTATGGTCACAGCCCCCTAGAGAAGGGGAGAATGGCTTACTCTCAGCATCCGCACGGAGGAAGAAAGCGAGCAGCAGCAGCAGCGGCCTGGCGACGTGCACCATCCTGCAGCTTGGCAGCAGCGTGCGCTGGCAGCTTGCGATCACTGCCTCCGAAGCCGCAGCACGTCTGTCCGGTCTGAAATTTCAGCTAGAACACTTTCAGAGCCTGGAAAGGGAGAGGAAGAGAAAAGAAGGGGAAGAAAACACAAAGACGCTTAGATTTCTCACTTTTTCCTTCGTATTCCATCACAACCACTACGAGTGACAAAATCCATTGTAAACACACAATAAATTGTAACGGTCATGCCTTTGTATGAAAAGAAAATAACTTGGTGTGTAAGATGTGGGAGGCCTGGCATTCCTGTTTTCAGGCATCTTAAAGCCAACTACCTTGGATTT